AAAGATTTCATTAGGTAGGGCCATGATTATCAATCTTTTGGCCTTTCTGTCAGTTTTGACTCTTTCTCTATCATCTTCGTCCCAATTTCTTTCATCCTTTGGCATGTAATATGCTGGAATTTCAGCTATGATATTTGTTCCTGGAACTCTTGGAACTAGAGTTTGAGGAATGTAGGGACCCTCCTGTATGGATCGCAGGAGATTCCTATCCATTCCCTCCAGAAAAATTACCCTTCTGATCTTCCATTAAGGATACTCCTCTCGTTGAAGAGTTGGAGGCTTTGTGAGGGAACCAACATTGTAAGCGGAATTCCGGTTGGCCATTGAAATTTTTTTAAGATGAAGTCATTTGCTGGAACGACCAGAGTGGTGTGATTTGACATTTCATAAGGATAGATCGGAAGTCTTACCAATGCTAATATCATGCCAACATTGAACGTAGGCACAACAGTTTATTCAACTGGTAATCTAAGTGATCCAGGTGTGAGCTTACCAGACTTTGTGTCATGGGAATATCTGGACGGCCCCCTAAAGGCTGCTCAAGTAAATATGGATGCACAGATTGCAAGTCTGAAAAGACTTTTGAAGGGGAAAGAAACGATAGAAGAAGAGCAACAATCAGCGCCATCACCACCACATATACCTGAGCCGTCGGTACAAGAACAAACGGTGGATGAACTTAAATCGCTGTTGTACGCAAAATTGATGGTATGAAGTCTAGAAATCATACAAATATGATATGATCTTCAAGAATCAAGATGAACATAAAAGTAGAGAGAATATTATCAAAGATTTATTAGATTGAGAGAGAGAAATTTACAGCTCTAATTTTGATTACAATTCTGCTAATGACTTCTCGTAATGACAATTACAAAGGAAAATACTTTTTATACTAGGAAATAATAAAACTACACTATTACAAAGGAAAATACTTTTTAACGCTCTAACTTGAACCCAACAGATGGCATCTCAAAATCCTGACGCTGAAGATGCAGACTTGGTTGGGCTCTTAAGACAACAATTGGTGTTAACCCTTTCGTTAGAGCCTTAGAGTTTTTGACTTTTCAAGATGTGGTTACTTCTAGCTTCACAAAAGTTAGCAAGTTAATCACATCCAAAACCCAAGATCTTAAAAGTTCAATGGATGCCCTTGTTGAACGGGTGTCTACTTTGGAAGAAACTTGTAGATCTCAGGCCATCTCTCATAAAAGAAGGTGTTGATCCCAGATCTCTCAATAACACTAATAATCTAGTTATGAATAACCAAATTATAGCGATTTAATGAAGAAAACTATGAAGTCTCAAGAATAAAATAAGAAAGATTAAGAACAATTTTGAGCTTCAAA